ATTGTTTCACAATTGTTTGTAAAGGCAGAATGCATGAGTAAATTAGCTGCTTGATTTTATGCAGCAGTAGCAATGGGAATCAAAACACCCACAATTCAAAGATTAAGAGTTGTGGCCCAGGTTTGTCCATATAGTGTAGGTGTACCATTGCTGGGTCATTATATTCAATGTCTTACAACACATGTGTCACATTCTTGGCAGCGCTACAATTGCTACAAGCACCACTGGAGTGACACAAGGAAGCCTGTGAGTTTAGAGGTGACACCAGGCGGCATCGACCAGATCGACCCCCACACTAACCGAGTGGTGTGTTCCTATGATTACCGAAATGTAGAGGGCTTTGTCGAGGTCTCCGATTACCAGGGAGGATTTTGCATCCTTTACGGGGGCTTCAGCAGACTGGTATGTGTTCATAAAGTTTGTGTTTTTGTATATTAAGGAGCTTTTTAAAAATTCATTATTTCTTTAAAAACATATGAGCAAGTTTCTCTTCACCTTCCTTTTCCTTTCTTTCAGCATCTGTTTGCCTCAGAGCATCGAGATGAAATCATTCGCAGTGCCATAGAGCATGCCGGGAACTTTATTGGCATCACTCTTCGATTGAGGAAGGAGGCTCTAACTTTTGAGGGTTTCATGACAGACAGGTTGGGGAAATACAGCTCAGACGAGAGCATAACTTCCCTAGCAGAGTTTGTGGTGCAGAAGATCACCCCTCGACATCCGGTGAGAACGCTCTAGTTTATTTTGCTCTTCTCATTGTTGTAGGGTGGTGGTTGTGAACATTCTATCCAAAAATTGACTAGGTTTCTGATCTGATTATGTAGTGGATTATTTGAAAAATGTGCTGATTTTTTGAGAGTATCATTCATGTTAAGATGTTTGTGCTTTTTGTCTCTTCCAGGAACCCGTTAAGCGCATCCTGGCCCTGACAGAGACGTGTCTAGTGGAGAGAGACCCCGCTTCGTACAACATAGTCACCATCAAACCCTTTGGAGAGGTGAGCCTTAACAAAAAGTTGGAATAATTTTGGCACTAAAAGTCACTCACTCAAAAGCATATTGTGTGCAGCTGTAATGAGAGGTAAATGTTGTTGTTTTTTTTGCTTCATTATATATTATTAGGCTAAACTATCCCTTCCCACTCTCTTTTGGTCATTCTCGCTCTGTCTCATCTCCCCTCAGATATTTGCTCTCATCTGTGATGTGGAAAATCCTCAGGTGTTTACTGTAGAATTTATCCGAGGTCAGATCAGGAAGTACTCCTCCACAGAAAGGTACGTTCGACAGTGTTTTTTGTCACGCTAAATTTCAGTTAGAATTTTTTTCTCTTTAACCGTAATGGCACATTGATCAGGCATAACATTATGACCACTTACAGGTGAAGTGAAGAAGTGAATAACATTAATTATCTCTTAATCAAAGCACCTTCTAGTGCAGGGGTGGGCAACTCCAGGCCTTGAGGGCCGGTGTCCCTGCAGGTTTTAGATCTCACCCTGGGTCAACACACCTGAATCACATGATTAGCTCGTTACCAGGCCTCTGGAGAACTGCAGGACTTGTTGAGGAGCTAATTTAGCCATTTAAATCAGCTGTGTTGGTCCAAGGACACATCTAAAACCTGCAGGGACACCGGCCCTCAAGGCCTGGAGTTGCCCACCCCTGTTCTAGTGTGTGGGATATATTAGGAAGCAAGTGAATGTTTTTCTTTTTCTTCAAAGCTGATGTGTTAGAAGCCAGAAAATTGGCAACACTAAGGATTTGTGAGTTTGCCGAGGGCAACATTGTGATGGCTAGATGGCTGGGTCAGAGCATCTCCAAAACTGCAGCTCTTCTGGGGTCTTCCCCAGCAGTGAAGGTTGGCCGGTGTGGTCTGATCCAACAGATGACCTTCTGTAGCTCAAATTGTTCCGATAGAAAGGTGGCAGAATAGGAGGACAGCAAGGAGTTTGAGGTGTTGACTTGGTCTCCAAATTCCCCTGATCTCAGTCCAATCGCACATCTGTGGGATGTGCTGGACAAGCGAGTCTGATCCATGGAGGCTCCACCTTAAAGGATCTGTTGCTAATATATTAGTGCTACCACAGCACACTTTCAGGGGTCTGATGGAGTCCATGCCTCGACATTTCAGGACTGTTTTGGCAGCAAAAGTTGGCCCAACACAATATTAAGCAGGTGGCCATGATGTTATGTGTGATCCGTGTTTTCTATCCGTGTTCTCTATCCGTGATCTCTAAGTTAATTTATTTTTCCGGTGCCACTCCCTCTGATCATTAGTGCATTTTGCTGAGTCTGTCTGTACGTGCGCTTGTAGGGACTCCCTGTTAGCCAGCTTACTTGATGGAGTCAGAGCATCAGGCAACAGAGATGTGTGTGTCAAGATGGCTCCCACCCAGCGAGGACAGAGATGGGGGCTACTGAGCATGCCTGTGGATGAAGAGGTGGAGAGTTTGCATCTCAGGTTCCTGGCAGCACCTCCCAGTGAGTCAGACCCCTTTGTCTCATAAAATCTGATACAAATTCATGGTTCTTGTTTTTGATCTGCTCTACAGTCATATTTAAATGTTAATATTTTACACAGTAGTGTAAGTGGTGCTTCTTCGGTGGCACTGGTGATATTTTCCTCAACCTCTTTGATTCTTATGAAAAATGTAATTGACATTACATTTTTTCCCCTTAATGTTTTTTTTCACTAATTCCTTGTCTCACTAATTTTAACAGAATTATTATACATGACGTTAAAAACCGGCACCACGCGGTGCCTTAAGTACAGCCACACAGACCTTTAAAACGTACCCTGACCAAACTGCTTATCACATGCCCGTCCCCGTCCCCCACGTCCCCGTCCCCCACGTCCCCGTCCCCCACGCCTTTCCAAAATGAGATATTTGGTTTTGCGTGTGTCACACATTATCTCTAACTTGAACCTGCATCCCTGTATTCACGCTGGCGTCCGACTGTGATTGAGTCCGTTTTATTTCTTTGGTTTTTCTGATCACTGTTATTTGTACAACCGAGGACGACACTGTTAACATCTCCATGGAGCGATTGTGAGAAAAAGTGCTCTGGTTACTCTTGTTTTCACCCGCCTCTCTATGAGCGCCAGCCTTCCAGCGTTGCTGCTGAGATAGACAGACACACTTTTGTTTGGTCAGACAGCACATCCTATTAATTTCTTTAACGTTGCTTCCTCCCTTTTCCCTTTGCTTAGATGGAAATTTTGCAGATGCAGTATTCAGATTCAATGCCAACATATCCTACAGTGGAGTGCTGCATGCAGTAACCCAAGATGTGAGTGGATTTATTTTCTGTATGATTAATCTCTATGCATTTGCCTAAACAGGAGTCACAGTGATTTCTTTGTGTGTCTCCTTTTTCATTCTCTCCAGGGTCTTTTCTCTGAGAACAAAGAGAAGCTCATCAACAATGCCATCCTGGCTCTTTTAAGCCAGGATACAGAGCTGCCGGCTCTTAATACTGAACTGGAAAGTCATTTTCAGGCCATACGACGCTTGGTGGCATCTAAGGCTGGCTTTCAAGCTTTCACCCAGCTGCCAAAGTAAGATTGTCCACATATGTACTTTTGCCCATCTCCTTTTACTTGCTGAAAGTATACATTTGAGCTGCTGGTAACAGGCATGCTCTGTCATTCCAAGGTCTGGTCAAGGGTCTGGACTCACAGATGCAACGTAAATATGAATCCATACATCTCAGTCTGCCCTTTCTCTGTATTTCATATCCTTCTTGATCTTTTTCCACAGTCTGTCCTAGCTGTCTATCAGCCTTCTTCTTTTATCTTTGTACTGCTTTCATCTCAGGCTGTACGATGAGCACTTCTAAAGGGAGGTTGTGTTGCTTCACTTTGTTCGGTCGAGCTGTCTGCCTCGATTTGTCTTGACCTTCCACCATCCCCATGTCCTCCTCTCATTTTTGCGCCTTCATCTCTCTCCCTTTATCGGCTTCGGTCATTCTGATCTTTACATTTCTGTATTGCCAGGAGCCTTGCAGTCTTCCGGGGTCACTGAGATGTATGAGAGGAACTGTATTT